CACTCATAAATAATGACCGATCTCTTATTCACAAAAGTATATATATATATGTGTGTGTAAATACCTCGCAGGAAAAACATCGACTTGAAGTTACGATGCTGTCACAAGGCGTTTGTATGCTGTACTCATTTTTCATGCCTCCAGCAAAACTCAAAGAAAGGCTGGCGCTAAGGTAATCTTAGGTAACCTTATGATTGATAGATTGACTGTCTGACTGACTGATTGACTAGATAACTTAACTGTCCACAGGGTAAGTGAAGCTGTGGTTAAGGTTTCCAAGAAGAAGATTAAACCTCATGTTAAAGACCTCGTCCTTGAACTTTGCTGTAACGATGACGATGGTGAGGATGTAGAGATTCCATACGTCCGCTACTCCTTCCGTGATCACTGAAAGTGGTTTAAGCTCGCACGGTCAAAACGCAAGATACAGTAAATTTTCATTTAGTTTAGATAAATCTATCATTTTCGTTTGTAGTTCTTTGTGTAAAAGATGCAGGAAATAAAAAAAGCCGGTACACTAATTATTTCATGTCAGAATGCTGGGTGAAGGGACAGAGAGGTGTTTATCTGTTATTCCCTAAAGTCTACACAGGAGAAGGCCTTTAACAATGATCCCATGTTGAGTTGTTTTCACAGTTATGAGGGCAAGATGAGGACAGAATGAAGATATAACGGAGGTGTGGCTGATTGCTATTCCAGATGGTGTTCGTCTTTGCACAGCATGACTCCAGAGCCACGCTTCTGGCCGGCTGTTAAGTGTCGTTATGAAAATATCTAATGGACGTTAATTAAAGCTCCAGAGCGCTCTAGACAATGCAAACTAAACAAATCCTGGTAGTGAACAAAAAAATGGCTCGATTCGATGTTGTTTTTTTTTTTTTTTTGCTCTCTCTTTCATTTTCCCTCTATTGCCTTTCATTTCTTTCAATATCCGTCTCGTCAACACCGAGCAATCAACACCCTGCTTGCTTAAAATAGACATTCATGATGAAAGCGGACTTTTTTACTAGGACTATTGTTTGTTTATCTGATTATTTATGACCTAAATGCACCATTAATTGAGATAGTGAAGATCCCTATGATCAGCAGGATATAGATGAGCCGGATTCGTTAAGACATATTTTCTTATTTGAAGGTGGTCAAAATACCAACTGCGCGCATTTATCATTTGACGTAGTTAATAGCTTGAGTATCGTATTGGGTGCTGTGAAAAACCGTTGTACGAGCCAAAAAATGAAATAAATGAATGTCTGATGAATGGAGGATTAGATGCAGAATATTTGAGTTGGGCAGGATATTTGATTTGGACATGAGTGAGATGAATGCGTCTGGTCGACTTTATTCTAACACGACCAACACAAGTCGGTACGTCTTTACACCGACATCTCCTGCATTCAAAATTGGCTTGATCATTTTGACTTTACCAACTGGAATCATCGCCCTGTTTGGCAACTTGCTGATTTTATATTATACGAGTTGGGGAAACAAAGGATGTTTCAAGCTTCGTCAGACTTGTGTCAACCGATCTCTGCTTGTAACATTTTTCGTTAAAAGTTTGGCGATATCTGATGTCCTTGGCGCTGTAGCTGTAACATCTCTGTTAACATTAGAGCAGATAATTGACACTAAGCGTCCCTTGTGGCTTTGCTGGGCTACTCGATTTCTTTATTTTATCTTCCCTTTTGTAACGATTAATAATCTTTTGGTTATTTTAATAGATCGATATTATTCCATATTTTATCCTTTCCGCGTACCATCTCTGAAAACGGTCAAACGCCTTATGATCCTCGCATGGATTATGGGAATATCTTTATCGCTTGTGGTCACATCTATGACACATCACGTTAGATACGAGCTTAATTCTAATCAATTCACTATTACATGTAAACTTGATACTAATCACATGTGGAAAAAGATAGTTTTTGTATGTGTGGCAATGTTTCAGTATGTCATCCCAAACTTCCTATTTTTTTTCATCACGATTTCCATTTTACGATATCTTCACAAACGTCGGTGCGCTATTTCTCGCGGCCAATTGCAGTATTCTTCTCRAGCTTGGCGATTTCAAGGAACAACGATGTTTGTACGAGTTGTCTTGGCTTTCGCACTGCCATGTTCTTTGTTCTTTTCCTATGGATTGGCGAACATATTTATTCAAAACAAGTTGGGATTCAATGTAGATTATGTCGTTCGTTGCTCCAGTGCGTTCTCGGTGATATTCAACAGTTTTATCAATCCATTCATCTATTATACAAGTTTATTTTCCAGAAAAAACAGCAATTCACGGTAATTCAAGCTAAAGACACCAAACAACTACCGCGTTACCTTACACATTGCCACACCCGACAAAAATAACTGATAATTATACCATTATACCATTTGAACTATACCATGACCTGACCAGGCTGCACATGATACTGATGTCCTGGACTATACCATGACCAGGCCAGGCTGCACATGACACTGATGTCCTGGACTATACCATGACCTGACCCGMAGGGTGTACATGATACTGATGTCCTGTACTATACCATGACCAGGCCAGGCTGCACATGATACTGATGTCCTGGACTATACCATGACCAGGCCAGGTTGCACATGATACTGATGTCCTGGACTATACCATGACCAGGCCAGGTTGCACATGATACTGATGTCATGGA